AATTAGATTTGAGTTTGTTCTATTTTTTGCGAAAAAACCAAATGTAAAACTACCAGATTCATCAAATATTTTTTCTCGGATTTTCCTTGCGGTTACTGTATTTCTCTTTATTTACATTTATTTGATATGATACATCGATTATTTATTGATTATAATTTTAAGATAAGCTATCTACTCCTCTCATTTTCGATAATATAATGTCGATCATTTAGATGAGCGTAATTACTGCCTATTTATTAGAACTGTGAACGGATTGTATGGCTTGGCCTGGCTCTTAAAAATCATTGAACCATGGCTCGAGGCATGACTAAAGCAATGGATCCAGTATTTCTAAAGCAGGCCTATATTCATCTGTTCCTGGTTTAGCGTGACAATGTCGCGCAGCTACTTATTTGGGGAGATTTGTACATCACACTAGGGATGGGAACGGCTACGGCTATATCCATAGCCGATATTAGCCGAACGAGGGGCTTAGCTAGCCGGCTAAAATTATAGCCGATGCCAGATTTTTAATGCCCTGGTTGACAAATAATCACTGCATAATTCAGTATTAAATCATATCGGCAGGTTTGCATCATCTAATAAATAGAGGAACCGATTGAAAAATCATGATTGTGATTTGGTGTAGCTGTAAATTGTGATTTGGTGTAACATAACGAATTCAAAACAAACATCAATTTTGAAAAAAATATCATAAGAAATCGCCCAAAATCAGCATCAGCCGTGACAATTATTAAACCACATAAAATTAGTTTAAATATTTGATGAAGTAATTAATTAATAATTGATCCAGCTATAGCCGACTATTTGCCGCTATGAGCGGCTAGCGGGTAATGCCAGATCCCATCCCTATATCACACCCAAAGTATTACAGTATTAACGTTCGTTAACTAATAAACCCACTAAATTTCTGGATAAATTCAAAATCACTTCGATATTTTTGGGCCCTTTCTACTACAAATGCCCCATATTATAATCTTTTTTTAATTATGCATTCACCCAGAAGGAACAAGTTCCATGACGAATAATAATAATAGCGAAAATCTATTCTAAGGTTGGATGATCAATGTAATATTGACCAGACAAATATATAATCAAATTACTATATATAATAGGTCCGATAATTTTGACCAAAGACCATTTAACTAATGACTAGATATATTGACTAACGTTAGTATTTACTGCTATATTATAATATAATCATATTATTGTTAAAATATAAGCAAAGTTATCACTATGAAAAATATCTGCTTTTTAATAAATTTATTATTAATTATCTTAACTTTAAAAAATCAATCAATGATGGTTATGCTTATAGAGAACCTTTGGCAGAATTATGGAGTGTAAATGAGGCAGAACTACACGGGTTATTAACTATTGAGAAGAATTTATCTATAGTAGATGAAATTATAAAACCGTTGCTGGATGACTCAAGCTTTGGCGGAATTTACGTGGATGTGATACTGAACAAACTAATTATCTATACAGTACACTTCTCTAAAGCAAAGTCTTTAAGATTATTACCTGTTGTAAAGCCATACTCAGAATCTTTGTTATTTAGAAAGGTATCAAATCCCACAGCTAACTTAACTGCCAAATTAAATCAAATATTAGAATTAGCTCATGAGCATGAAGTACAAGACGTATATATTTTTAAGCATATAACACGTAATAATATTGTTATAATGTTACATGTAAAAGTCGGAGACGAAACCAAAAGTTTTTAGAAGCAGTTGAACCATTACGAGCGATTATAATTTTTATGAGAATACTTAAACAGCAAGATCTGAAGCCTCAAAAATGAAATATAAATCCTATTATATTACTTGGAGAAAAAATATTTGATGAATCTGGTAGTTTTACATTTGGTTTTTTCGCAAAAAATAGAACAAACTCAAATCTAATT